GAGAGTGCGCCCTGGACCGCGCGGGATGCTGCGCCGCGTCGCGAGAGGGCTGGACCTCGCGACGCGGAGAATGATAAGAGCTTTAAGAGGATATTAAAGAGTAGGCATATATATATATGTATATATTTACTTTAAATTTACCGCTAAAATATTAATAGCGACCATACCGGTAAATTTAAAGTATTACAAAATTGTAGGTGCAACAAAAATATCTGTAGACATTACAGGTACGGTCGGTTCAGTTCATACATTTCTTCTTCTTTTTTTTTTTTTTCAATTTCATTGATTCATCGAAATATTTTTCCGCGTATGCAATTATTCCTGTAGGGAGAGTGTAACTTTATCAGCAATGCTGCCCTTTGCTGGACGTGCACTTCTTTAAGACGTACCCTTTTTTTTGTTTTCCGTGGACTGCCATGGTCTTGCATTTTTTGCGAGATGAAATCGAGTTCCCTGTTAAATCTGAAAGCATTGTTCCGTTTAGACTACCCGTGTACGAGGGGCACTGCGAATCGCGAATGCAAAGCCATAGTCCAAGGCGAGCAGTTTCTTGGCGGAACTGGGCCGCGATTTCGAGGGTTAGGACCGAATGGACCCCTTTGAGGGCGTTTCGGAGCAAAGGAGCCAGGGGGTCCAACTTGTCCCGCGACCGAAAAAGAATCCGCCTCTACCGATCCGGTCCGGGGGTGTACCTTTGATCCGTGATGCGTGCGACGTCGAGCCGCGCTCTTTGATTAATCGCTCGTGGATAAACCGGGCGAGAAGTAGGACGTAAAGGCTGGCCGAGAATTTCCGAGGCCCCCCCCTCTAGAGAATATTTCCCGGGGTGGATTCCGAGGGATTATTTTTCCCGGCGCTTTGAGCGCATTTCCATTTCCCGGGGATACCGCCCTCCACCCTTTACGAGGACGTAGGTAGAATGTCGGCGGGAAAGGACCTCGAGGTCGCACCATTTATCGCGCCGACATTTTTCGGGCCCCCCTCTAATGACAGCAATACGGAGGAAAGCAATTACGAGCTGGCACCTCCGACAGGGTGCTCGGAAAAATGGCCAACCCATCCCCCCGTCGAGAAGGGGTTGAAGTGTCGGGTGAAATGAAAACGTCGAGCGATGCGTTTCCTCGGCGTGAATCAACGTCGCGAGGGGCCCCGGGGCCCTCGGTGATTCCTTTGGAATTTCAACGGAGCATTCGTCAACCCCCGCCCCTTCTGCTTTTTTCCAACCCACCCCCTCGGGATTATTTCGCCAGAGACCCGCCACTCGCGGCCTTCCTTTGAAAACCCGTTGCCATCCCGTTAACCCAGATGCGCGGCTTCGAGTGGGACGCTTCCCTCTTTTTTTTCCACCCTTTTCCTCCCTTTCTTGACGACCCCACCCCCGCCGGTTTTCCGCTTTCACTCGGGAGGACCTGTTGGAAAAGAAGACTTGAGACGGGCGGAAACAAAAGATCGAATCTCCGTGAAATAAATCCACCCTCTCCTGGCTTCGAGGGCTGATGAGAAATTTCCACCCCTCGAGGGCTGAGGACCTCCCCTGCAGGGAAATGCACTGAGAGTCGAGTGCATCCTCGGTTGGAATGCTCGAGTCGAATTGCGGATTTTTTCGTTTTTCGTCGCGATCGCTGAATTGTTACTCAATTGTTGGCCAATTAAATGGAGGAGCGGAGGATTGTTTCTTCTTATCTGAATTTATTTCTTACTTTCCTTTAATCATTGCAGTTGAATTTATTATGGGTGGGTGCCCACGTGGCGATAAAACACAGCGATTTGTAAGTTTAGTACCTGAAAGTCTTGTACGATCAATTATGTATTTCACATGAAATCAACATCCATGAATAAATGTATGAGATTCAACAAAATCATTGCTCTACCGTAGCCGATTGTAAGCAGATATCAATTTCGGAAATGCAGTAGATTAGTGATTACCTTTTTACGTTTTATGGATGCGCGAAAATAATGAATTCTCATTGGTTACCTTTTAATGCTCGGTAGTTTCAACAATATTCCTCGTACATTTTCCGATTCGACTTTCTTGCGCGGTTTTGTGAAAGGAATATACATATATATTCTTTACATACGTTAAAGTTTATATATAAGGTGGATGATGGTGGTTTACCCTGGATGTAGGATACACGCATCAGTTAAATTTGTGCAGGCCAGTTAGCACAGATTTATCGTTACGCGCACCTTAAGTGCCGTTAATAATGTAAATCTCATACATGTTCCATGAATTCATTGCAGTCTCATTTTCCTTCTAACGGTGACAGTAGATTTTGGGGACTCGACTTGGAGGTGTCTTGTTAGCGCCGCGCAATTCCGGGATCGAAAGTGCATTCTGCACCGCAGAAGAAGAGCGGTTTCCCATCCGAAGTGTGCACCTCGCTAAGTACAGGGAAGTCGCAGCGAGGTGCAGCCCGGAGCTGCACTCGGCCCCGGAACTTTATGCAAACTCCGCGATAGGAGCTTAGTTCTCTCTCTCTCTCCCTCTCGTGCTGCCTCTTGCGTCTGTAAGCTCTCTGTCTCCCTCTCTGGCTCTATCTCTCCCTCTCTTCGCGTAAGCTCCACTCGTTTACTCGGCCGACCGTACGCGTATGTCAGCCGCGGATAAGGGCGACATTCTGAAATAAGAGCCCCGGCTCCGAAAATCCTCTCCGCGGCGTTAATCATTTTTTTTACGAGAAACCGTAACGATACAATTTACCGCGAAGAACAATCTGTCTTCGTAATGCCTAACCGGATGCCCGAACAATATTCCTGGCCAGAGAATCCAGTATAAGGGGCATTATCAGGGATTATCGTCGCCTCGATTTAAGGGCCGCTTCGAAAGAATTACTGCATCGCGCCCGCCGTGGATGCAGCTGGTGCATGTCCCCATCTTGCACCTACGATTGTGTCCGGCTATGGGTCAACTAATGCACCTTAAACTACGTAAACCCTTTATAGGGTGCTCTTATGGGGGGCGGAGCAAACATATTGGTCGTCGAGCCCTGGATTCACCAGATTATGAAGGTATTACCTAGCTCTGCGCAGGTGGGCGCAAGATGCACCCTGCATTCGAGCCTGCAAGTGGCTCCGGGCTCGTTATGTTAGAATTCAATTATTCACTTTACCGCCCGGTATTAACTTGAAGCATCGTCACGTATAATCTCCTTCCAAGTGATTTTTCTCCCCGATTAAAATCACCGAAGCGAAAGTGCATCCTCGTCAACGAGGAGGATCTCACCAGGGTCCCTTAAATTTACTCACACCTGAGTCTCAAATGACTCATTGTGTTGTTCATTTTTTTTTTCATTTCTATTTCATTTCTTTAACGGAAATTATATTGCATCGGTGCGATACGTTGAAGGCTTCCGATGTCTCATTTTTGGCCCTCGACATCCTTTTAGAATCGATTTGAAAGTGCATCCTTATCAACAAAGATGTCTTCAGGGCAAATTTCCCCACATATGAGTCTCAAAGTATTCAATTTCATTTTTCACTGTTTTTTCTAAATTTCTATTTTATCTCTTTCACGGAAATTGTGTCGCATCGGCGCGACACGTCGAAGGCTTCCGATGGCTCTTTTTTGGCTCTCGACACCCTCTTAGAACTGAATTGAAAATGCACCCTTATCTTCAAGGAAGATCTCTTCAGGGAAAATTTCCCCACATATGAGTCTCAAAGTATTCAATTTCATTTTTCCCTGTTTTTCTAAATTTCTATTTTATCTCTTTCACGGAAATTGGGTCGCATCAGCGCGACACGTTGAAGGCTTCCGATCGCTCTTTTTTGGCCCTCGATACACCCTTAGGGGCCGACGAGGCGCTTCTGGGGCAGCTTCGCGCAATTCTCTCACCCCTTGGATCGATATCTCACGAGTACACGCCGACTCGGGGGTGGCGAGCTATACGGCGAGGGTTTGACGAGGTTCTTGCCGCTTTACAGAAGCTCCCGCCACGGGAACCGGAGGACTGTCCCGACGAGGTGGTAAAGCGATGGACGGGTCGTCGTTTTCTTTCGCCCCCAGAGCCACGGGGTGGCGGGGGAAATGTCACCCCGATCTCGCGCCTCGGGGGGTGGTCGCAGGAAACACCCGAGAGCCGGCGTGAAAAATACGTCCGAGGACTGCGTTTAATTTCCCCGGCGCGTTTTTCCACCCCCTCGGATTTTAACCGAAATGAGATAAAAATGAGACCCGAGAAACGAGGTAAAAAAATGGCCCGGCTCGTTTCTCCGTTTCAATACCTTTCATCGTTTCCTTCCTTTTTGGAGTTTCATTTTTCCGCTACATAACAAGTCAACTCGTGATACGAATTTGATTGGACAAAATGGTCAAAACTGATTTATCAAAAAGTAGGCCCCAACATTCATTCTTTGCTACGGAATGGACCGCGTATTAATTAATAATGTATTCCCCGGCACTGGTAGTCACGTTTTTCCGCCCATTGTATTACTATTTACGCGTGCATTTATTTCCAAGAAATAAAAACTAAGCGCCAAGGAAGATTATCCGTGAACTTATCGAATAGTTCAATATTAAAGTCCAAAGGCGCGGTGGCAGTCTGGACTTCGGGGATATTAGGAATTCTTATCCGCTCTGGAACTTCAGGGCTTCTGAATACCCGACGAGGGGGTGGAGATTCCAGGGCAGGGTGCCATCGACGCCGTCCCGACTGTCCAATCGTTAATCGTTGATTGCTCTGTCCAAATGACGCATAATAGGCGGTATCCCCTCGACCGAGCTATTCGTTATGCACGCGCGTATGCACCTGCACTGGCATGCATTTCGGTGATGTTGGCACACGTCTCTTTAGGAGAGGGTTCGATTTGCAGGGGGGAAATATTTCCTGACCTTGGTCTGATAATTAGATTACCACACCAGGGAGACGATGCTCTCGGTGCAGCGCGCGGTGCAGCATTCGGATGCACTTTTCGACGAGCGACCTCTTCGGTTAGGAGGTTCTTTTTCTTTCATTCTCCGAAAGAGCGAAAAAATGAATAACCGAAATTTCCGATTGCAGGTAGATGCGGCCACGGTTCGCCGTGCGAGCAGCTCTGCTACGAACTTCACGATGGGATGTACGAGTGCGACTGCAGGGACGGGTACATACTTCATAAAAATGGATACAGCTGCGCCGGTGAGTCTCGAGCTTCCTTTACCTCGCGGCCCACTTTACAATTCTTATTCCGTGGAAAGCCCTCGAGAGAGCACTCCTTCACGGCGGCCGAGTACTTACGGATACACGGGAACAAGTACTCACGCATTCGCCGATCGGAGCCCGTACCTCGAGCACCTAGAATTGCTTGAATTACTCGAATACCGGCGACTATCCATCCAGATTGTCCGAACTGAAGAGCGAATCCATTTTCTTCCCGCTCTGCGGCGTACGCGTGCGAAGTGCACTTCTCATATTTCGTATAAAGAATAAGAAGTAAGATATATAAAAAGGAAGAGCATACTTTACAGAAATATTGGGGGTATTCATCCAGATTGTCCGGACTGAATCGAGTGAATCAATTTTTTTTTTCTCCCCAAGGGGTATATGAGTGCAAAGTGCCCGCCTCAAGAACTCCTCATAAGATGAGATACTTATTAATTGATTACACATCATCCCCAGAGATCTCCGGATTTATTCGTCCAGTAATATCGAGATGGATTCTGAAGTCGTGGCCCTCTTTGAGCTCCGGATTTCTGCAGCGCCCGGAATAATTTAAATGGCAGCCGGTACCGGTCGAAAAAATTATGGGGTGGATTTAAAATCATAGAGCGAGTGCGGTAAGAGAGACTCGGAAAAGACGAAGAGTAACCGGGAGTAGGCACCTGTAAAGGGAGGAGCGTCGACTCGTTAATGACGTCGCGGAACCGCAGCGTCTCTGTAGCGTTCGCAGGGGGTAGTTAGAGAGAGTACACGTCTAGTGGGCTCGGTACCGGCACTAACTAGTAACCATACCCTCGTGCTGCAAAGCGTCGAGTGCCGAGCAGCACGAAGAGAGAGAGAGAGAAAGATATATANCTCTTTCCTCGGCAGTGAGTGGCTTTTAAATATATACCCTGGTCCGTCCCTCCAGAGGGGCCAGAAAGGAGGAAGAGAGAAATATATAGAGAGAGAGGGCGCAGAATGCAGCCCGCGAAGTCGGAGAAACGTCCACCATTACGGCGAGGTAACGCGAAGACAATGCGTCCTCATTAGCGACTGTCGCACCACTTTTCCTCGGGTGCCCAGTTCTCCCCAGGTTCCTCCCCCCAGGTTCCATTCACCAAGGCTGGGAGTGCGTGAAAGAATCCACTAGAATTTTGGGAACGTAAGAAATCCCTAGGGAGAAGGAGAGAGAAGTCTCAGGGGTCGCGCCGAAGAGGCGTCGAAGAAACGCTGGAGACGTTGAAAAAATTAAAAAAAAACGTCGAAGACGCCCTAAATATGCCGTAGACGCGTCAAAGACATGTTGAAGACGTTCCGAATCATGCCAAAGATATGGAAAACTCTTCTGAAAAGCGTTAAACACGCCGAAGAAAATCGCAGGGAGGTTCTTCGAGGAATAACGTTACAGCTGAGATTTCCTTTCCGGAGCTTCAAAGCGGATTCAAGACGCCCGCGGAAGACGCGGAAATGATTTTATTCCTTTTTCCTTCTTAAGAGAGAGAGGGTGGGGGTCATCGTGTGTGGTTCAAGTCACGAGGAGAGGATCCTCAATGGTGATCGTCGAGGATCCGGAGGGGCGAATGTTTCTCTTTAACGCATTCCAAAAGAGCGCGCGAAAATCTGAGGGCAGGCGCGGGGACCGTTTTTGAAGAAAAGCAGGAAAATCGCGGAAAAGGGCCGAAGAAAGGTGGAGGGTGGGAAGCACCCCTCGCTTTTGAAAGCGAAAACCCGCCGAGGGTGACTATCACGGCTGCTTGAACGTGCAAACTCGGAAACACCTCGAGAACCACCCCCGCCACGCTGCTTTATTCTCTCCCTCATTTACTACCCTTTTGCTTCTTTAATTCCTGTCTTTTCCCATTTCCTCCACTCCTCTCTCTCTGTCCCTCTCTCTCTCTCTCTTTCTCTCGATTTTCGAATTGCCCCGCAACCAGTTACCTCCGTCCATTTCGGCGATTAACAATGGCTTGATCGAGCGCAGTCCTCGTCAGATCTCACCCCGTAAACTGTAACATTAGGGGTTGCACACGCGATCTCTCGTGACGCACTCCCGGAGAGTGAGATGTCATGTCGTGGGATCGTGCTTTGAACGACTTTTACATTTTTTTTCAACATACTCACCGCGTGCATACGCGAAATCTCGGCGTGGTGAATTATATCGCCCGACCCGTAAACCACCCCATGTCAACCGTGATACTTGTTCTATGCTTCTTTTTTTTACACTTTCATATCTCTAAAAAGTCAACGGGAGAAGACACGTTTCGCTTATTGAGGCCGGAAAATGGAAATTGATTTACGATTTCACGTCTAATACGGTGAAACCGTTGCGTCCCCCGGTCCACCCCCTGACAATGCGTAAATGGAAATGCGATATTTTTCGGCCAATCCGAGTCGATCGAAAGCTCGGATTCGAGGGCGCACCTGACATTTTTCCCGGCCAACGTGAAATCGCGATTCCCCCCTCCGAAATCGCGATGTACGCCGAGGGAAATCGCACCGAGTTTGTTTCGCTCAATTCGTCGTTTTTCTTCCTTTTTCCCCATTTCTCGAAATTTCACCCCCCTCCTCTAAACAGGGGTTTCCCCCGACTAGAATTTCACTTCGACGCCTCGGAAAATCCGGGAAATCCCTCGGCCGCGGTCGTCGGGAAATTGACGTATTACTGGCGGGATGATGACAGATTGCATCGACTCGCCGAGGAGTATCGAGCATGTCTTGCGGATGACAGAAGGGGAGGAAGCGAAAGACAGAAAGCCGGGAAGCGAGGGAGTAGCCGGGAGGAGAGAAAAGCGCGGATCGAAGGGACCGAAGCTGAACGAAGGCAGGACAAAGCTGAAAAGCCCGTGGAAAACAATTTTGCGAGCACCGTTGCGGTTTAATGGGATCTGCAAAGGGGGGGGGGTTATTAATTGAAAGGCAATTAATGGCGGTGGACAAATATGAGCGAGCTTTGTTTCTCGCGCTTTGCCGCGGGCGCTTCGCGACCTCTTTCGCTCCCCTTCGGCATTTTTGTTTATTTCCCCCTTCGTCACCCCCCTCCTCCCCCCCCCTACGTATTTTTTCCGAACATCCGGCGTGTTTTTTTTTTACGGCCGACCTTTTTACGCGGAATTTTTATTGCTCGCGGTATTGCCTAATACGTTTTCCCCGGGGAAATTGTATAATTTTATCTACATATTCTTTTTCATTCGTTGGCGATTTTCCGCGCGTCCACCCGCGTGGCCCGGTTCGGGAATTCGGCCCGATCGCGTTATTGAAGTGCCTTCGATATTGGCATTCGAGTGCCCCGAAGAAGGCTAGGTTCTCGTGAATTATTCCCGGGGACAAAGTTTCGGGGCAGGGAAGTTTCGATTAAACTCGGTTATATCTGTCGGAGGGAATCGGGTCAGCGATACGAGGTAGGGAATAAATTATGGAAACGCCGCAGCCGAATATACGTGTCGGGGCTTAAAGAGGGGAAAATAAGTCGCGACGGGATGTGCCGGCCATTGGCGAACTCTCTTTCATTTTTTACATTCGACCCTTTACCCGCCACTTTTCCGTTTTCCTTTCCCCCTTCAGAGGCGGCGTTCCTTCCGTCGTCAAATTTCCCATCCGTTTCCCCGATTTTCTGCCTTTTGAGCCCGGCCCGTCAGGAAGTCCCACGGTAAGGCTTAATTTGAATCCTGATAATTACGCGAAACGTCCGCCTCGTTTGGGTGTGTATACAGACATGTATATATACATTACGCGCTTTTTATTCCCCCGGAGCACCCCACGTACAGCCCCCCCTCTCTCTCTCTCTCTCTCTCTCTTTCTCTCTCGGCTCTTTTCTGCGGGTTAATTAACGAGTCCTGTAACGTCGTTTACGAATGTTCGTTAAGAATCTTTTAATTACTCCGCCCCCCCCCCCCTGCACCGGAGGCCGCGGCGAGTGCCTTCGGGTATGGATTTTCTCGCTGCCCCCTTTTCTCTCGGACTTTTCGAGCTTTTTTCACGAAAATTACTCCCGAGGAAGTCCTCGGCCGATTCTGTCGGTAGGATTAATTCCGGAGCTTCCGCGACTTTTCCGGAATCTCGAATGAAATTAGGCCGCATTGAGTTCCGCTGTCGATTTTCCTAAATTTCGGGAGGCAGCGGGTTAATCGATGGAATTCTTCTGGAAGAAAATTCCTTTTCCCCAAGGAAGATTGAGCTTTTTGAGAAGGAAATTATTCGCGAAATTGCGCGATCTTTTATGAATTTTCTTTGATAAAATTAGGTCGCATCGGGTTCCTCCGTCGATTTTCCTAAATTTGGAGGGGAGTTCGTTAATCGACTGAATTCTTCCGAAATAAAATACTCTCTCCCCAGAAAAGATTGAGCTTCTTCGGAGGAAATAATTCGCGAGATTGCGCGATCATGTCGGACTTTCATAAAACTAGGGCGAGGGGCCCGAAAGCTTCTTCTTGTATCGCGGGGGACAATTTCGGAAAGTTCACCGAGAGGTAATTTCGTGGGATATATGTGTGTGTGTTTTATATATATATATATTTTATATATATATCCGGCCGCTGCGAGGAACATGCGAAAGACACGTCGCGCAGGGAGCTTAACTAAGTTATGGACGATGCCGATACGAAATGACTTGGAAACTTCTTTTCCCTCCCCCAAAAGCTCCTCTTCTTGCCCTAGCACGTGTCGCCTCCCTCCCCGCGCAGACAGGGAAGTTACAAGGAATTTATAGTTGAACTTTTCGCCCCGGGATTCACAGCGAACACGCGAACTCACTTCCGGAACAATGGCGGCTCATTCCGCGCCTTCTTGTTCGCGGGTTTGCCAAGCTTCCCTCAGTACGCCGCAGCCCCCCGAAATAATGCCAAAAGATGGGATTTTTCATGAGAAAACGCTTGATACCTACAGAAGAACAATCCACAATCATACCAACAAATTTCCCTGGCTTCGACAAATGTGAGCCCTCGTAAACAGGAAATATTTTGCCAGACACGTTTTTATTATATTCGCAAAAAAGAAGTCGATTGCACCTCCGGGGCATCCAAAATTCTATTAACGGCCGCAATATTCCATACTGGTGACAATTGCATATCGCTCTTTCGTTCGAATAGAGACAACAATATATACATATATATTTGGCTGTCGCTAAGAATTCATCCGGGAATTTAGCAAGTACTTCTCGAGAGAAAGCCTTCTCTACGGTAACATCTACCTTCGATACAAATCCAAACATTTCCGCTGTCGATGCAATTATTCCTGCCAGCGGGAGTGAAGTTATATCAGCAACGCTTCCCTATGCTAAAAGTCCAAATGTGTTTTTCCCTCATAGGAGCGGTAAAGTATTCTAAAAAAAGAGGATCCTCCCACCTTCCAGTCAGTCGGTTATTTCCTCCCTCCTTTATGTATCGTTTCGGGGCACGTCGAGATTTCGAGAGGCGATAGAGACCTCGCGACGTCTTCGCTTACTCGAACAAAGAGGCGCCGCGACGCCGGGCGTCGAGTAGGTCGAGAAAGCTCGAAAGCTCGAGAGATCGCCCCTCTCTTGTCGGTTTTACGGGGAATCGCGCGAGAACGTTTCAGCGGCCTCTCGGCTCGATCTTTTGCGCCTCGTGGAGGGTGAAACGATGAGGGGAGGGGAGGAGGGGGGGGCAGGGGGCGGAAAAGGGAATTTCATTCCCCGAAGAAAGGATCCGCGAGCGATGGCTTCGCAGGATGGTCCTCGGGAATGGAACGAATTGTCGGGAATGGGGAGCTCGAGAGAAGGGGTTGCTGCACCCCATAGGATGCAGCGGCGCAGGGGAGGGCTGCAAAAGTGCAAGAGGGCAAAAGTGCAAAAGTGCAAAAGGGGAGAACCGGGAATTTTGCATTTTAAGGGCCACGGCGTCGGGGGTGTCCTTTTTTGGGGGTTTCCCTGACGGAAGGAGAGCTCGGCCGCGATGCGTCAGCCGAGCCGGAAACTGGCGTCGCTACGGACTCCTGCGCGGTGTAAACGAATCAATCCGGTAGCAATTGCGGCGGAATCCGCAGCGGCTAACCGACTTTCCGCATCGACGAGCCCGTCCGGGCGCGAACCAGTGGAATTCGGTTTCGGATCCTGTCACGCTCGGCTACGTCATGGTTTTCCGGAGCGGCGGGTGAAACGCCGGCCCTTAGGTGACGCGGACGGGGGTGCGTTTTTTTCGGGACGAAACGTCTGCCGGGACGCGCTTCGGCTTTCCGGAATCCGATCACGCGCGTCGGGACGCCGACACCGAAGCGACGCTCCGGATGCGGAACGCGCGCGGCGGGCCTCCATGCCGAAGGACCGTCTCGACGGAAGACGGGTAATGGAATTGCTACTCGCCCGGCTCTAATCATACGGAGTGGAGTCGGCGGGGGATCCGCGGCGGGCATTATTCGTCCCCCACGACGACGTGGGATTAACCGCGAGCCGCGAATTGGGCCTGTCGATCTGGTCCGATCGCCGATCATCGACGTCGAGATCTCTCTGTTCCCTGGACCACTGAGAGGGGAAGGACTGGGAAGAGCTCTTCAAGTATACTCGGCTCGAAAGATCGCAGACACGCTTTATCATCCCAGTCCTTCGTCTAGGAAAAGGCCTTTGCCTACATGGGAAGGTGTACACTTTTAAATTATCTCTCAGAATATATATAAAAAAAAATAAAAGAACGGATACGATGACTATTCATTTGAGTTTATTTCAGTCAAATAATGAACTCCTTGAATCAACGAAATATTTATATGGTTCGATAATGATTGTCTGTCTCGGCGTAAGATCGATCGTCTCGAGTTCGTACACGTGGGTTTATTTTATACGTTTTAGAGGTAAGGGCGCACTCTCCCCGGAATCTTGGGGGCTGTCAGAATTGGGTTCAACTCGCAGAGGGCTTGTAGGTGCAGCCAGGTGCACCGGGTGCGAACTGCATCTGTCGTCGTGTATCAGGCAGATCGAGCAGGAGCTGAGGGGGCGTGCGACCGACGTCGGTCTCGTCGACGTGACCTGGTAAACGAAAATCGAGTTCCCCGTCTCGAGTCGCCTCTGACGGTCATGAAAAGAAGAATTTAATGCACCCCCGTTCGCCGGATGTCGAGTTCCCGGAGCGACTCGATTTATTGGTCGGATTCGCGAGTTACTCGCTCCTGGAGGGACCGACTGTTACGGGGGCGGGGGGCATTCTCCAGGAAAATGCCGTATAAAATTCCCGATCCACTTGTGCGTGCTCCATTTGAAACCTGGTCCAGTTTGGCCAGGGAAGACTTGTCCGGGAAATTAATTTACTCGCTAGGCGGGGGAGATGCAATTTGAAATCGACTGTCGATCGCGGGGGGGTGGATTGCCCCCGTGGCCGGGCATTCCTGGACAATGGGAGGCGATGAAAGCCCGCGTTTCTTTGGGAAGCATCGAGGTATCGCATTGTCGCGTGCAGCGCTTTCACCGCCGCCATCTTGGGGCCGCCATTTTGGTACCGCTTTGGTGCCGCTTTCGAAGACCTCAAAAGGCTTTTACGACTCGATACGAGACCCGATTTCTTTGCTCTGTCGCTCTTCCCAGTCGATATATATATATTGGCGGCTGAATCATATCTAATTGAAAGAAACAATTATTTTGTTGAGAACAAGAATGGATGTCGAATTAAACGAATTTCTTGTCGCAATGCATATTTCTTTGAGCCAACCATGTGTTTTTTTCTCAGTGAGGGGGGTGTCCTCAGCGTTCTTTGTTCTCGGCTCTGTGGTGTCCTTAGTATCGCATTGGTGCATAAAATTCTGGAATAGCCAGAAAGGGAGAACAAAAGGTGGAAAAGAAATTCGAGAAGACCGGAAGGCACTACTCTGAGAAATAAAAGAAATTGGCACGGGGCTTTTCGGCGAAGGGCATTTTCCGCCTCGTCGAGACTCCGGCTACGCAGAGACTCGTCGCGTGATTTTATGCAGACAATACGGACAATTAGCTGGAAGGCGCAGTCAGGATGGCGAGCGACGAGTAATCTTCCCACTCGGAATTTAATAAGCCCGACGGAGTCGCCATCTGTCGGCGGGAAGTGGGACGGCAACTTGGCGAGGGACTCGGCCGGGGACTGCGGGATCCATCTTCGTGTCTAGTTAGCGGGACGAGCAGGAGGAATTACGCGGTAGTTAGGAGTTACTTAATAACTGCAATCCTTCGAGGTAACGCGAATTAGCGAAAAGGAAGGGAGGGACCAGGAGATTGAACGAAACAATTCGTATTTCGGTGAGAATCGGAGAACGCGACTCGCAGTCCCCTCTAAACGCCATGAAGCTCCTTCAAGAGACCGGCTACCACGAAATTTCATTATTTCGATGAAGAACCGGAATCGGTAACCCAAAGTCCGAGAGATCGCGCTCGAGATTCGTTGTAAATCGAACGGAGGCTCTCCTTCGCGGGGGGTCCGCGGGTGAAAAGGGAAAATGTCTTTCCGTGCGGCAAAACGCTTCCGTTCTTATCCCCTCCCGACATTGTGCAGCGGCGGAGCATCGGTACGGTTTATTGGATTCCACGGGGGGTGCGAGCGAGGGGGAAGGAACAAGATTGCTGGGATCCTCCACCTGGGGGATCGGCGGAGTCCGTCCTTTCCGGCCACTTCCCTCGCCGAAGGAGAATATGAGGAACTGACCTCCGATAAATCCCTCCTACGGTTTCGGCTCGGGTTCTTGAGTTTCCACCGGTAATTTCTTACTTAACTTCGCCCCGACCTTTACCTCTTCGCGGGTAATTGCGCCCGGCCTTACCCTTTGAAACTCGAGGACCCCCTCGAAACATAGGGCACGTTATCCAGGAGGTTCGGTGAAATCGGCGACCCTTGGGCAGTTCTTGCTTTACCTTTCGCCATGACGCGCCTCCTTGTAATCGAATTGGCACCTGGCCTGGCTCCCTTGTGTGTGGAATTATGCGCCCGATTAGTGCCGGGCCGAACCCCTTAATGGGCACCTGACGCTTCCACCGTCGGCCGCAACAGCTTACAGTACTGCATGGCATTAAGTAGGATATAAAGGGACCGGTCAGCCGAACGGAATTTCCGGTCAGCTCCTAGAGTGAAATCGGCGACGCTTGAATAGACTTTGCTTTGCGTCTTGGCATTGCGAGCTTCCATGTTCATCGAATCGGCACCTGGCCTGCTCCTCTGCGAGTGCAATTATACGTCCGATCAATGCCGTACTTAACCCCTTAACAGGCGTCTGACATTACTGCTGGCTAGTCCATTGACAGCCTTGCCGGCTTACGGTGCAACATGGCGTTAAGTAGTACAGAATCCGACCGGTCAGCCAAACGGAGCTCCTCCGAGTCGGTAGACTCGAGGCCGGCAGTTACAAAGTGCCCGACGGGATTTCGGATGTTTGCGCACTCGAGGAGCGATAAATCTCTCCTGAGCCCTGATAAATGGGGATGAATTTATTCCGACATTTAACGTCGATTTCTGTTCGCAGAGCTGAACTCGACCTCGCCGTCGACCGGCGAGCTGGCGGACGACGACGATTTGAATCCCGACCCCGAGGACGACGTCCCAGAGGACGTCGTTTACATGCGAGGTGCCACCTTCCCTGTGCACCTTGACTCCACTGCAAATTCCACTGTTCTGACAAACGACACTAGGAAGGGTCCGGACTCTAACGAGATTCCGGTCCATAAGGAGGCTCACGGGACGTCCCAGGTACCTTTCGTCTTGGAGACGAGAAAGATGTCATTTCTCGATGGCGAGCTCCCAGGTTACGACATTTCGCCCTCCTGGCACGGTTTCAGGGACCGAATCTCGAGCAGAAGCTGCCCTCCACGACGGAGAACGTCGCCGTGACGGAGCCCGCCTGTTCCTTGGACTGTGGACCAGGTGGAAACTGTTACATCGAGCAAGTCGCTCGTGACTTGGAGGAGGAAGACCCGGGGAAGACGGCCACGACCAGACGGATTCGAGGGTCCTTCGTGCAGAGGTGTCAATGCCCCCTTGGGAGAAGTGGCGATCGATGTCAGCTAGGTGAGCGATATTCCACCTTTGCCTCGGCTTAACTCTTCCCCGAATCGGGAATTTCAACCGTTGCGCCGTTAATTTTTCACACAATTTTTCTCCCAATTTTCCTCCCAATTTTACCGCAATTTTTCGACCGCTACCGAAATGTCCCAGGGAAAATTCACGGCCGCGGGTTGGCGTCGAGCCGACGTTCTTTGTCTTCGACCTCTCTTTCTCTCTCATTTTCCCTTCCTTTTTCTTTTTTTTTTAATGGAAACCCTCTCAGCCGTCTGTCAGGGGAATGAAAGGGGATTACGGGCGTCGAGTCGCCGACGTTTATCGACGTTTTCAAGGGGCGTCGAAAGAGTCGCTGCGCCTCCTCGGGGCCGCCATCGAGATCCGTCGATCCTTGACTTCTTCGTCCTTACTTATTAAAACTCCGCCAAAACGTTCCGAATTCTATCTAGGACGGACGAAAATGGATACCCTCGAAGGATCTTTTATCAGACCATGATTTGATCGCGACGCTGATCCGATCCGAGCTTGATTGGGTCTCCGATTATCGATGAAAAATTCACTCCCGTATTTGAAATAATTGCGCGGTTAATATGCAAATGGGCAATGAATGCCGACGAAACCGCAGATATCGAGCTCCCTTTCGCCGGATCAATCAATACGATCGACTCGCGTTCTCCTGCATGGCGAGGGCAGAAGTGGACGTCGAAGACCGCTCGTTAACGGGGACATTTCCCCCCCCCCGATTTTTCCGGTCTTCCGGGTCCGTTTTGCGCCCTTGATTTTTTTATTTCCGCCAAACCTCCACCCCTCGTGGAAATATTCGAGTAACGAGATTTACGAGGACGCTCGGATCGGGGGGGAGGGGGAGGTGAATTTTTGTCAAAAATCGGCTCGACCGCAAGCGAGGGGTCCGTTTTCCGGGAGGGGCGTTTCCGGCCGCGTTTCCTGGGAAATGTCGGTGGATTTGCCTCCCTCCCTGGAGGGGGCGAGATCCGCTGGATTTTAATCGCGACCAGTAAATCGCGGCTCGTACGCTCCCGTCGGGAAATCCAATGAACGGGGGCGAGGGGGCAAAAATGAGGGGGGCGAGGGCGGCGGCGCCGAAGGAGAGTCGACGCCTCGTGACAAATACTTTTATTTATCCGCCGATGAAACGCTACCCGTTGCGATTTATTGAAACCGCCTCTCGTGTGTTCTCATTTTTCATTAATATTTCCGGGAAATCGGCGGCTATGTCCTGTCGGTGGCGTTTCACTTGGCGATTAAAAGGCGAGGACAATTCTCTCTCCTCGTGGAGGCTGGCCGCGAGATTCGGCCGAAGTTGCCAACTCTGGGAGGACTCGAGTCGCCAGGATTACCCGTAAGTCCCGAGTTTAGACTCGGCGGGGGCGCGGCCCCTGGCGGAGCTCTCGAATCCAAAACCTCTTTCCCTTGATATCCGGAATTAATTACACCCCAGCCATCCGGCAGAATCCTGCCGCCTATATTGCGTCGAGGCCTTATTAAATTTTCCCAGGAACGACTCCTTCTATCTCGCTCTCTCGCGGTCGCCGCGACTCGCCCTATCTCTCTCGCCCATCCGCCATCTTGGAATTGCCCGAACACGCGTGGCTTCGGGCATGCAGACGCGGATGCAAACGCCGGATGCAGACGCGGACGTGTCGCGGGTCCAAATGCGCAGGGACAGCTAGTCATCATCCGGAGAGGTGGGGTCAAAATATGAAAGTTTATGCCAAACTCGGTGCATGGATCTTCATTCTTCTTCATTCTCTGAAATGCTTCAGCTGCGTAGGGTGTTTCTCATCGCATTGTAAACGCTACACGCACTTATGGGGATTTCGGCTGAACGGATACTGGTTTTACCCGCGACCTACGAATTCCCCGGACGCGCCGCCTGTGTTGGCTGAGTCTGACGAGGTTAAGGAAAATTAAGTTTGCTGCTGGCCAGAGTCTGATAGGATGCATATTTATGAAAGAAATATCACGGATGGTTAGTTCAGGTTTTAAAATGGCAAAATCAAATGTTAAAAGAAATTCCAGTGACTGATTGAATACGGCGGTGCACAGGGTTCCTCGGGCCTTTGGAAATGCGTAGGGGTTGTTCGCATGCAGACGTCGAGGACAGGTGTTTGCTCGTGGACTAAAGGACGCGTGTCCTGGCGGGGTGGAAAGGGCTCGCCGAAAAGTTCCTCGGCACGTTTTATGGACAGGTGGATTACGCTCTTTATTAAGGGTGCCTCTTGTATGCTCCGCGGATCAGGGGCGGTTAGCGGGCCCACTCGGCGGTTTGTCGAACGTGGTTTGCGCCGGTTGTTTAGCCCCCACCCTCCCAGAAAAGGGGTAATCTTCCCCTCGCGACGAGTGCTCGCACCCTTCCCAACGTTTTCCGAATTAATGTCGAGAGTGAAGAGGGACGATGCACCCTTATTCCCGTTCTGCGACCTCGGCCATTTTTGGCCGCCTCGGGGGTGAGACCCACCCCTGGAATCCCGCTCGAATCGGAATTGTTCAGCGGGTGAAGTCACCCCTCGTCCCTTCGAGCGCGAAACTTCGCCGATCGGGCCAGGGGGATCCCATCGATCGCGAATCGGGACCCCTCGTTTCCGGTCGTTCCGGGAGTGCCGAGAGGACTCGGTTTGCGATCAGCGACTCGCAGTTGCGGAGGTCCGCAGTTGCACCTGATGGCGAAGCCGGCCACGCCAACTTCGAATTCCAACTCCCTAACTGGCCGACGGGGGCGTAATCTCCAACTTTTACTTTTCGACCAGCCACCCCTCGAAGCACGGCAGCTGCAACTGCAACTGCAGCTGCAGCTTCCGGGCGACCCAGGGGCGTCTCGTTTGCCAAATCCTCCCCTGAGTAATTAGAAGTTCCTACCCAACTCGACTTGCGATTCTAATTTCCAGAGTTTCGACCGAATCGCACTTTAAGGTTATTGAATCGAGAATCTGAAATACGATTTTCTTCTTCCAGAATCGTTTGCCTTTTATTTAATCGGGAAACTTGGTAGAGTTTCGCGCCAAATATACATTAACATACGTTGTACACGTCTGCGCTAAGCCGATTGTATGCCTGAAACTACATCGAGTTCCTAACGCAAAGTTTGGACATGTTATAAACCCGTAAGAATTAATATCTCCGCATTTAAGAATTCCTTGTAGTTCGTGGTACTGAGATACATGAACGGAAATGTTTTTTCGCAGTTATTCTAATTTTCTTCAGACTTGTAGAAGTCATTTTTATCCTACGATAGCGTTTTTAAACATTTCCAGGGTTAGGTTTTGCTCGCTCAGAGTATTCAGTTGATGTCGTCTTCCTACGCGCTTTTTCGCACCCCTGGCGAGAAACTCCTATTTTATTCAGTTTCTTTCCAGCATGATAACCAGCAACGTGATTCGGTAACAAGCGACGGTCGGCCTTAACATATTGTAATGTTTGGTGAGCCTCCAGCGATTTCCAGCTGATATCCACGTGATTTCTCGAATTAAAATCCATTGATTTTGAATAACCCTGCGAATAGCATTTAACGCGGGGTAATGCGTACTCGGATTAAAATTCGGAGGGGTGGGGAGTTTCGCACCTGAAATCGAAAAGTCACAAAATAGCCCACCCTGGGCGATTGAGAGGTTATGTTAGGGGAGAATGTCCACACTTCTAGGCGTGTTCGGCGCACTTTGTGCGGCTAAAATGGAATTTCGGTATAAGGGTGCTGCGGACGCCATTGTTCCGTGCAAGGTATAGAGAGAGAGTGAGAGTGAGAGAGGGGGCTCGAACTTGTCCGAAAATGATGAATATTCGCCCGGTCTCGATGGTTCCAGCCCGTTTGGCGCTTTTTGCCGATTTCTGTCCGTTTTGTCGAGAAAATGGGATTTCGCGTCGGGGCGCGCGCATTGCGCCAAAGTGGCGGAAGGCGACCGGGGGGTTGGTTTTTGAAAAGGCACAATGCGCACCCCGCCAACCGTAAAATGAAACTGTCGATAATTTCCCCGTGTTTTCGCGCACTTCCCAACGGGAGACATACGGCTCTTACCCCGGGGCCGTTTCCTGCAGGAATGTCGAGTCCGTTTTCATGGCCCGTCCGGTTCGATGGCGCCTCGAAATCGCGAGAATTCTCCCCTTGCACTTGCGACAAGGTGCAAGGGTGCAGCCCAGTGCACCCTTATTCGGTTCCTCATGGGTCGCATCTAAGAAGGAGAAAGGAAGTACTTCCCTTCCTTTGATATATTCTTCCGAAAGTGCATAAACCCAAGAATTAAATGGATGTTAAAGTAGGATCCGGATCAATCGTTTCAAACGTTACAACGTGGATATGGATTATGGGGGATAATAATTTAAATAAGTGCTTATGAGTAAATTTTGAGAAAAATTGAAATCTCATGAGGGTCAGGACCTTCCTTATAGCCTACCCGTTCACGTTGTAGAGTTTCAAACGAATCTGTACATTCAATTCGGAGAAAAGTTTCATAAACGAGACCTCTTTGACGCCACTTTTCACCCCACCTTAAGGGCGTTACCGTTCACTCTTAGACGGTAGAAAGCGCAGTTTCCCTTCTTTTTATTTCCTCAAAATGGTGAGACGTATCAGTCTCGGAGTTGGAGGTGTTACTTCGGACCCTGGCAGCCGGAAAATCGGAGTTAGAGGAGCAGTCGATTTCCGTCGAGGGTTACCAGCTGAAAATGTCGATACGAGCCTCTCTTCCGCGCGATGCACCCTCTGTAGTAGATGTATCTAAATCCGATATCAGGAACAGCCTTAACATGGCCGCATAATTTTCTCGCGGATCCACGTCGGGTTCTTCTTCGTGAAAATAATTTTCCCATAAGGGGTTGGTCGTTTCCTTGTTTTGGGGAATTTTCTAGGAGGGGTGAACCAGGTATTTAGGAGAGTGTTCGCTGCTTCGAAGTCGCTCGTTAGGTCTTCAGGGTGGAGGACGTCGAGGAGCGTTCGGGACCAGTCGAGGACCGTTCGGAGTCCCTTTATGGTCGCGGGATTCGTCCATTAACCACCG